GTATGAAAAGTTAAAACATTTATGGTTGATTAAACTTGTAATCACTCAGGTGACCCCATGACCTCATGATATTGGTAACTTGAAATAGGTGTCCAAATCTTAGTTGTAATCATTGTGCACATTTTATGAAAATTTAATTTAGAGTTGGAAGAGTTTTTAGAAGGCATGCCCCATAGAATAAGCGAAAAAGAGCATGGCGTGTCATAGGGATGGCGCTCTCTGGCATAAAACAAACTGCCATTGCCAGGACCCTAGGGTTGTGTCAGGAACAGTCTCTAACATTTTGCATTGGTACCAAAGGTACTGGAATATGACTCCAGGTCACAGCAATAGTAGCCCTAGAGAGAAAAATGTAAGAAAAGACCACCACCTGCTGCATTTATGTAATCAAAATCGCTTTAAGTCAACCAGTAGTCTGTGAGATGAATGGCTGTCTCACTTCGAAACCCGTTTTCCAGAGCTATAGACAACTAGTGATTTCTTTATAACCGATGCAAGGCCATGAGACCTTTAAAGAGACCACAGCTGACTAATCATAACAAAGTAAGGTGCCTTCAATGGGCAGGAAAGCACCAAAACGTTGGACCTAATCTTTGGTGTCATATGACAGCATGTGAAGAAATAAGATGTGTCCTCCACAAAGTTGATAATTGTGTTCGTTTCTGTCATAGACCAGGGGAAAGAGGCAATAAGGACACTTACTGATGTGGCAGTCCATGAAGGCGGCCCTATTTATGTTTGGAGCAGTATTACGGAGGTTGTTTGGAGCAGTACTACAGAAATTGCACCCCCTTGGTGATTCCCAAACATAATTTCGAGTAAATTGACCTTTTGGACCTCCATCAAGCACCACATGTTGACAGAGTGTTTTGGGGCAACATTCAACTGCAGAATGATCATGCTGTTGCATATGCTAGTGGCATCGTGTTGGACTACATCAGGGTAGGCAATGTGGACCAGCTACCACTGGCACAAAAGTCAGCCAATGAGGCTAATGCAGAGCAAATGCGGGACGACCTTGGTAATGAGATTCGTGACTTGGACCCCCACCTCAAAATTTAGACACGTTACGCACTGCCCAAATTGAGGAATGGGACCTTATTTCACTTTGAAAGGTCAGATGTTTCATTCAATGCTGGCCCGTAGGGTTGATGCTTTGATTGCAGCACAAAGAGGACATAACACATATTAGTGCTATCATTGGATAGAGAACACTTCAATCTTCATGACCAGATGTTTATTTTGTTTGATATGTTTTACATGACGATTTGGATCGGGGTATTTTGAAAATGCAAAAATTCTTAGCGTACCCCTGTTTAAGTAACAGTAATTTTCTAAGCTTAAATGTTAATATTTTTTCTCTAAAAATGTTGATTTGTAGGTGAAAAATGTGGATATGATTTGCCTAGAAAATAAATGTCTGAGCCAACTCCAAATAAACGTTCTCTTACTCCAAACTTTGAATTCTGAGCTGCCAAATCTAATATTCCATATTTATGAGCAACAGTGTAGAATACGCATTACATTTTAGAATAAAAGTGTGTTCATGTTAGTCAGAAGATAGGACAATCAAATTGATTCGAAACAACAAAGGAATATACAAATCCGTCGCACGAATTATATTTTTTAGAACACCAGATTTACTCTTTAATTTAGAATACTCAAACACCGACTGTATGACAACAACAATAGGCTTAAATTAAGGTACACAGTTGCAAAGATACCGAGGTGCATTCTCACCGTTTGCTGCGAGTATCATATGCTTATAAGTAATCAATCTTACACATCAGGTAAAATACAACGTATGTATCGCAGTATTAACGGCAACAGAAAAATGAAGTAAACATGCGTTTAACTACTTTGAAATTCAATTACCTATACGAAACAGCAATTATCTAAATTGATATGTCAATTCGTGATGCCAAGAAAACAACTACTGCCGATGAAAATGTAATTAAAAGGGAGGTAACGTATGTATTCGCATGTTGTCAACTCAGTTTTCATATTTGTCTGTAGTGTTCTTTGACCCTATTTACACGTTCTGTGTATGATTGTATTTGCCTTTGTAATTCTGATCTGAAGTTATCTGCTTGGCCTTACTTGCTTCACAGTCTTATTCTCAATCATTTTCATCCCTGTCTTTCAAGGTTCTATTTCAACTTTTTTCCAGATTTTGAATATCACTGTGGTTCGCAAATCTTTAAGAAGGTTATTAATATTGCTGATTTCTTTCAATCGGATGTTTGGGTATTTGATCCTATCTTTATACCTGCTTTCTCAATCGGCCTACGCTTTCAATGTCATATTTTGATAATGGATGCTGTGACAAGTAATTTCTAGATATCATTGAAGTCAGCAATATATGTTTTGGTCAGTCTTGGAATGTGGAGAGCGACACTTTGGCGTTAAGTATTCTGACAGATGTTTCTCATACAGAATCATCATGTTGTTGGTTAGTACTCGTGTTTGTCTTTTTTTCATTTGGTCTAACCTTCTTAATTGGAAAGAGTCGTGTACTTATTCCAGCTCTATTTTCTTTGTCAGCCAATTTTGAATCTCAACCCTTTTTGATACACAGGTAACATTTTTCTTTTTATGTTTGCCAGAGACTTCCTTGACAATCTAATAGCTTAAATTGCGAATGCTACTAACGCAACGGTATCCCCTAGCTATTCTGCCATATACTATTGTAAGACTTTTACGTTTCTTGGTAGATGATGTTTTCTAGCTCCTTCGATTTCTTTTCTCATTGTATTGAGTGTCAACAGTTTTCTTCTGACGTACATGTATCTGTGTCTTCTTGGGGTCAGGTTTAGTTCTTTAATCTCATCAACCGTTTGTTTTCTTGGCGTCATAATTCATCCCTGTAAATTGTTGCCTAAATTTCTTTTCCAATCTTCATTTTCCCAATTTCGAGTTTTTACGTTTTTAAGAGGTTTTCATTCCTTAATTTGATATCTTTATTTTACAATGTTCAGATGATATTGCTTGCTTTATTTG